GTAATTAGACATGAACCTGAATCCAGTAGGGTTCATTTGTGGTTCACTAAGATTTTACAGTTCCCCATAATCTGCAGATTATGATGTTATGTTTTAGGAACCATCTGATACTAGAACATATTTTAAAACTTTATCTGTGTAACTCTTCTTGTTTAATTAAAAGATTTACATACTCTGGTTTTCTTCTATTAGTTCAGTGTTTTTGCCCTTCCGATTTTCTTCTATGCATTTAGGCTTTTCTTCATTTGTCCAATGGTGAATGGTTGTAATTAATAATTATGATTAAGACAATGCCAATTAAATTAAATGGTTTTGAGATCCCAAAATCCAGAAAGAATGTGTTTAACATTTGCTCATGCTTTGACTTTTGTCTGATGTCTGTGTTATTCATTCAGGCATGTATCAGATTCGAGAAGCAAATCAAATGGTTGAAGAATTTATGCTTGCTGCTAATGTTTCAGTTGCCAAACAAATCCGTGAATGTTTTCCTTCCTGCTCGCTGCTAAGGTAAACTTGTTTTTTACATACCGCTTTGCTATGACAATTTTCTTTTGGGACTTGCATTTCTTCTGTACATTTTCTTTCATTCACTGGTTAAACTTGGCTTGTGGTTATGATTTAACTATAAGGTTTATCCCCTCAGAAAAACGTTTATGTTTTCTGTCAATGCTAGAGAAGTCCAAAAAAGTAGATGATCCTGTGTGAATTTATGTCACTGGTTGCATGATAGTATATTTAATACAAATCACTTGGTCCAAGATGGTTTAAATCATAAAATGCATTAACAGGTGATAATTGTGAATATTATACACCATCTGATCTCTTCAAGAGTCCATAGTACTTTTAAAGTTCATAATTTCGGGCAAATTAGTTACCATCTTGTACAGGCACCTTTTATGGAAAATTCCGGAGTTGTGGCTGTTTCTTGATAATAACATTACTGTTGTTTTTGAAACCTTGTCTTGCCTCACTGGATTTTGGATCAGGCGTCATCCAACTCCTACAAGGGAGATGCTTGAACCTTTATTGTGCACTGCTGCTGCTGTTGGACTTGACTTGGATGTTTCTTCATCAAAAGCATTGGCCGACTCCCTTGATCATGCTGTGGTAAGGTTCCTTTTCATGATATATATATGTCTGACAGAATAGCTGATGTACCGCCTCAGATGATTCCTTTTGTAGACATTCCTTTTTCCAACTTCTAGCTTGTGAGGCTTCTGGTTTTTATTTTATTTGTTTATTTAATTTTTAGATCTTTGTGACTTGGGGTCATGTTCATGTATTTTGTTGGGCCTCTGTCTTCAATAGTTGATTTCTTACTTCTGGTAAAAATGTCTTGCAGCGTGATGATCCTTACTTTAATAAGTTGATTCGGATACTGGCAACTAGGTGTATGACACAGGTAAAGTAAGCTAGGAAACTATTTCAATCTCCAGATGATTTTGAGTGAGGCACATTTTAACTTTATACTAATTTGCCTTGGATTTCAAATTAGGCTGTTTATTTCTGTAGTGGGGATCTCAGCCCTCCAGAATATCATCATTATGGGCTTGCAGCTCCCATGTATACTCATTTCACTTCTCCTATTAGGAGATACGCAGGTTTGTGAATAGAAATTTGTTTGTGGCTTTTCCTTTTCTTCCTGATATATACTTGATGATACTATTAATCGAATTCGCGACATTCCTCTCTTTGCAGACGTAATTGTGCACAGGTTGCTTGCTGCATCCCTAGGGATTGATAAGCTTCCACCGGTTTTCCAAGACAGAGCTCAACTAACTAGTATTGCTGATAGTAAGTCTTGTATTCTTTCAGAACTTTTTTCAGGCTTCGATGGATTCGGAAACAATTTTTACATGATTCATGTACCCACGATATCCATTCACAACTTCCAATGCATTTTACCTGTTTCAGATCTGAATTATCGACATAGGAATGCCCAAATGGCAAGCAGGGCCTCAGTGGAGCTCCATACTCTCATTTACTTTAGAAACCGGTACATATGTTGGCCTCTCCCATCGATTCGAAACAACCTTGCATATACCATCATGAATAATTGCACGTTTTGATTTTGTGTGTGGTGCAGGCCCACCGACACAGAAGCCAGGATAGTGAAGATAAGGTCCAACGGGTTCATCGTTTTTGTGCCCAAGTACGAAATTATATCTTTTTATGCTGGATTATCTCTACACGTTCCTTGCGTCTTTCTATTTCAGTCTCTTTCTAGGCAAGAAAAAAGATGATGTTTTGCCACTTTTGTAATACAAAACAAACAGATATGGTATAGAAGGACCGGTGTACTTGACAACAAGGGCAGAGAAGGGAAGCGGGGAGTGGCGTGTTGACGAGCAGCAGCAGAAGATTATAAAGATGGACAACAATAGCCTTTCCTACAGTGTACTGCAAGCAGTGAGGATCCATATGGAGGTTGTCGAACCCCAACCGAACCGCCCTAAACTGCAGCTTACTCTTATTACCTAGAAGGAAAAGATAACATTCACATACACAAAGGAGGAAGAAATGTTGTATGACATAAAGATAGGGATGTTTGATTTCTGGATCTCGTGGTTCAATTTACAGCCCGTTTGTTTTGGTTTGGGTAACATTATAGTTGTTACTTTAAAATATCTGTTTCTACCAGTGTTACATTTCCTTTCCATAATATCATGAATGGGGTAGAACTGACTCATTGAGTGGACTTGTTTTATATATTATTTTTATAACGAGGAGAATAGATAATTAAATTAAGGGTAAATTACAAATTTGAACATTTTTGTTTCGAGTTTATAAAGCTTATGGTCATTGGATTAAAAAAACTTAAGTTTTGATCACTTATATTATCGTTTTAATATGATTTAGTCATTTAGATGTTAGCTGATATTAGTTGGATGATGTGGCATGTTAGTAAGAATGTTTAATTTTTATTTTAACCCTTGAATTTTAGATAAAGTACTAATCATGTGTTTTTCTTTAAACCCAAAATAATCATAAAATATCAATTTACCCCTTTTTTTTCCATATGTTTTCTTCCCCTGAACCTGATATCTTCTCCGTCGCTTGCGTCGCACACCTCGTTGATCCTTTGTTTTCATCGATAATTGTCCGAACGGTAGTGGCTGTGACTCCCAAGTTGATATCAATTCCAAGGCAATGTGCTCGACCATTGAAGTTGGGAAGATAGAAAGGATCAATATTCAATAGATTTATCTTGGGGATCAAATATCATCTTATCCTGGTCCTTTCATCATCTCTATATTAAATGATTTTTTATGCCTCTCTTTCCATGCTCTCTGCATTTGTAGACATCTACATTAAGTCCGCACATCTTCATTCCTCCAGTTTCAGACGCCATTGATATTGGAGAGTCTAAATCATCCAACCTAGAGTCAAAGATACATGCAACAATCATGCATTAGTTTAGAGATGGAGATTGTAACAATAATAGCCTAAAACTAAATCCTTACTAAAACCGTTTTCTGAACCATAAATTCAAACGAAAAACAACAACAGATAAGAAGAAGAAGAAGAAGAAGAAGAAGAAAAGAGGGAAGAAGAAGAGATTGAATTCCAAAAGCGAAGAGGAAAATGGGGAAGAAAGGTCTAGCTTTTCGGAGGACGATAAGAAGAACGGGGAAAAAAGGGAAGAATCGGGTCTCGGGGATCTGGGTCTTGTTTGCCGTGAGGTGTGCGGCGGAGAAGATATCAGGTTTGGGGGAAGAAAACATATGAAAAAAAGGGTGATAAATTGATATTTTATCCTTAAATTATTTTGGGTTTAAAAAATATTCATGATTAATAATTTATCTTAAGTTCAAGAGTTAAAATAAAAATTAAATTTTTTTAATAAAATCTTACTAATAAATGTGTCACGAAAATTAATATCTCAGTGATCAAATTTTAATAAAACGATAACAGAAATGACAAAAATTTATATGTTTTAAATCTAATTATTATAAAATTATAAAATTTAAACAAAAGTAACTAAATCTAACATTTTACCCTTAAACTAATACAACTTAATAATATAATTACTATTAGAAAATTGCATTGGTTGGGCAACAAACAACTAGACCTAACCCATAAGCCAAGCTTGATTCTTTTATTCACGGAACATGTGGGACCCAAAAACTAGTAAGAAATAAATGTCCAAAAGTGAACCTTAATTAACGGCCCTAACCACATCTTTCCCTTTTCTCCTTTGCTTTGATTGATTCACATGATTCCTTAACGTGGGTCACATGGCATTGGCAGAGAAGAAGAAACCCCCCCCCCCCATTTTACCATCATCATATAACATGTCATCTTTCAATGTTCAATAGTCAAATTGTAGTAAGAAATGCAGTGTAAATATATTTACATAAAATTCGAAATCTGAACATAATATTTTCAAAAATAATATGATTCGTTGTCGCTGAATCAGTAATTTGTTAACTTCATTTTTTTAAATCTTAAGAGCACAATAATTATCATTAATGGGGATAATGATGGAAAAAGCATGAATGCATGCATGATGATTTGTGGAGATGGGAGTGTGAATTGTGAAGTGAAGGACCTGGGGTTGCCTGTCCTTTTCGATCTGTGAATGTGAATGCATGTGGTGCTTCTATTGTATCAAATCAAGTATAGATTATTATCTCTTGGACCGGAAGTGGAAAAAATAAAATAATTATAAGTGAAAGTTTAATGTTATTAAATGTTTCATTTAATATTTATTATTTAAATTTAAAATAATGTATATATTTGATGATATTCAAATTGATTGTTTTTGAAAAAAATAATTTAAACTTATTTTTAATTTTCTTAATATAATTATAAAATAATATTAATATCTGATTTTAAATATAAAAACATTCTTTAAAAAATAATAACTTTTTTACCACTAAAATCTCTCCCTCAGTTCTCACTTAAACTCATCAACGGTTAGTCAAAATACACAACTGAAAGCCCATTTCTCATTTTTCTCTCAGTCAGTGTTTTCCGATGTCAGAAATCCAACACGTAACAAATATATAAAATAAATAAACAAAAAAGAAAGACAACGACGAGAGCAGAGCAAAAGCTAGAGTCAGAAATCTGGAGCACAGATCAAACACCACCGTTAACCCATTTCCCGTCTACATTACCATCCCCATTTGGAGACCCGCAGCCGCGCTGAACTCCTAGGCCCCATGGCTGCAGCCCTCGAGTGCTGGTCCAGCCGAGCCACCACAACCACCGATGACGACATGGTCGAGCAGGTTCTGATGCGCTCCAACGACCGATCCGAGGACACCTCTTCCTCCTCTGCTGCTTCGGCCAAGCTAGAAGCGCCATCCGCCAAGAACAAACGGTTCCAGAGGTTGAGCAGGAACGTCTCCGAGGCCATCGCATCTCTCAAGAACTCTCTCAATATCGACACATCTTCCCCGCGTGATCAGCCTCCTACTGTTTCTTTCGTCCCCTCTGCTTCCTCCAAGGCCGATACTTGCCGGAAAGTGGTCTGGGGTACCGTTGTACGGAACTTGACTCAGCTTTATCCTGGAAGTCAGTTGCCTGAGAAGCTTGTCTCCAATATCCGCAAGCATTATGATTCCTTGCCTCTCAGGTACCCTTCCCTTCCCTTGCATGTTCTTTTTTTCCTACTCAGTTTTTGGTTACTCTAAAAAAAATGCAGTAACAATCAACAGAATTCTATAAGCAGTTTCCTTTTAGATATGGGTTTTGTTTTTCTTGGCTTTTAAACAGGGGAAGTTTGGGTTTCTCATAATTTTTTATTAGTATGATGCTGAAATGTTCCTTTTTCTTCTCCCTTAATTTCTTCTAATTTTATTTTTTGGGGTATCATGTTGACAGTTATGCACAAGCGGGATTTGATATGAAAGAAGTATTTCTACATGTAAAATTGATAGAGCAAGCATCAGGGGATGACCATCCTGCTATATTTATTCAGCAAACATCTGATGATGATGTACAAGGTTCGGTGTTTAAGCTCACATTTGCTTGCAATTCTTCCTTTTCATGGTCTACCATGTCTGGTGCTCTTGATACTGCCTCCATCTGTTGCAAGAAGATGCAGATATTCGAGAAGAAAGGGTTCACCCTTGGAATTATTCTCTTCTTGGTTCAGAATACCCAAGACAAGTCTTTTAAATCCCACATCGAGAATGCCCTCAAATCTGCTCTCAGGAAGCCCAAGACGACCACTGTGAAGCTACCCTTTGGACTTTGTGGTTGTCAGGAGGAGAGTACTAAAGGGAGGGACTTTGGGGAAATTGAGGAAGACCCAATTGAGAAAACTCAAAGAAGTGGGGTTGAAAATCTGAATACCAGAATTCAGCTTCCAATGCCTCTGCCCTCCTCGTCGTTTGTTGTATCGGTTGATGAATGGCAAACTGTCCAATCAGGGGCAGAAGAGATAGGGAAATGGCTATTGAACACCGACAGTCTTGAGTTTATTGATCAGATTGCTCCCAGCTCTTTTAAAGGTTTCTACAAGGGTAAACGTGTTGGAATCGAAAAGCTCAAAGGATGTGACAAGGGGAATTCTTATGATTTTGAACTTCGAAAAGATCTCTTAGAGCTTATGACTTGTGGGCATAGGAACATTTTGCAATTCTATGGTGTTTGTGTTGATGAAAATAATGGCTTGTGCGTTGTTACCAAGTCGATGGAAGGTGGGTCAGTCCATGATTTGATGCTAAAGAACAAGAAGCTTCAGATTAAGGATATAATGAGAATTGCTGCTGATGTAGCAGGAGGAGTCAAGTTTATGAACGATCATGGTGTTGCATACAAAGACCTTAACACACAGAGGATTCTGCTAGATAAGCATGGGAATGCATGCTTGGCAGACATGGGTATAGTCACTGCTTGTAAGAGTGTTAGTGAAGCAATGGAGTATGAAACCGATGGTTACCGTTGGCTTGCTCCCGAGGTTTGCATCACCTTACTGTTCTTTGAATTAATGTCATTATGCAGTCATAACCTCATTCCCTCCCATCGCCCGAGTGCACAAAATCGTTTTGCTAATGTTGGTCATAATTCAGAACTCATAACCATCACGTGCAGTGCAGTCAACTCCATCAATCACACGGACCAGCTATTATAAATCAATTCACCTAAATAAACCTCTTCAACAGTTGATTAATCACTTATGAGCAATTCAGATTGAATTTTGTCATTTTTATGCGATGCTATTAATCTAACCTTGCTAAAGGAGTCGTTATGTCACAACTTAAAACGTCATTTTTTGGGCATGCCTAACCTGTTTAAATTATTGTTTTTGCTTTACACTTCAATATTGTGTTTTATTTATGCACTACTTTATTCGCAATTAACAAAGCATCAATACTGTTGAAATGCCACATTTATCAAATTGTCTGTGGAGCCTTTTAACTTTAGCATGATTATGGTCCTTTTCCATACCTAAGGCCACTTTGTGATTACTACCTTCCTAATTGTTATTGATATTGATGTGGTGATTATCTTTAAAGCAAAATTAGAGGCACTAAGTTATTATATATTTCAGTGACCATATAGTGATGTCGTACTTTATTGTTTGCATTTGTTTTTCGGGCGAGCATGGCCGCCTACAGTAAGAGTTCTTTCGGTGAAAATTTGTTTCCTACTGGTTCTCTTTCTATCTGCAAGTTATATCAAATTTCAATAATAATATGTTAGTGTATATAGCTGTTTGTATTTTGGCATAAAATAACATGATAAACGGGACTTCAAAGAGTTTCAATGCAACATTTCATACGTGCACAATAATATGTTATATCTACTTTATCTATTTTAATTTTCATATTCCATTTCTGTACAACTTACAGTTGCTGGCTGCAACATTTCTTGGAGTGCAGATCATTGCTGGGGACCCAGAGAATGTTACCGAGACATGGATGAGTAATTCCTATAGTTTTGGGATGGTGATTTGGGAGATGGTGACAGGTGAGGCAGCCTATTCCGCATGTTCACCGGTACAAGCAGCAGTAGGAATAGCTGCATGCGGCCTAAGGCCCGATATCCCTAAGGACTGCCCCCAAATCCTCAAATCTCTGATGACCAAGTGCTGGAATAGTTGTCCAACAAAGCGACCGCAATTTTCCGAAATTTTATCTCTGTTGTTGTGGACCAATTACAGGTAAAATATACCCCAACCCCCACAATTTTTTTCCCATAAACTGTAATCCATTCATGCTAAATTTCTGTTATAGTAGACTTCTTATGATGTCTTGCTAGAAAAATGCATGACTGTAGTTTTCGGAAGTTCCTACACCAGAAAAAAGAAAACTCTAAATGCCATCTCAATCTAAGTTTATCTTCTTTCATTCACCTTTTCAACTCATTTTTTTTTCATTTGGCACCCAAAGAACACGTGTGAGTGGAGCATTCATGATAGGCTACGAGTAATTGATTGAAAATGAGGAAAAAGAAGGGGAAATGAGATCTTCTGAGCCCTTTTTGTGTCTAAAGTTTTGGAGTGAAATAAGGAATAATTGCATCATGTGTTTTCTTGTCTCTGTGGTGGCTGGTTCAGGGACCCGGAGGTGGTCTGTCTTGTTTTTTTGTCTCAGAAAAAGGTGAGAATTCATCAATCAAATACCACAATGTTTTCCACCTATTGGAAAACTATTAGTATAGGATCTCCACTTGGGAATTCGACTATAATTTCTTACACGTGCCAATGATTTCAGACGTTTTAATCATAAGAGAAAAAAATGGCATTTGCATGTTGAAACAACAAGAGCTGGTTGGTAATGGTGGCGTTAAGCTTGATGGATGTTGAGGATCATGTTGTTTTACTTCTCAAATACTCTTCTAAGTTTGAGTTGGTAACTTGTAGGACAGTTTGAGTTGATTTTTTGGGGACTCTGCTTCTCCCGTTCTTCATTTCCGATACGAATGTTAGTGTTGGGTTACGTTTATAGAAACTGGTGATTCTTTGGCTGAGGGTAACGTTTAACAATAAACATTACCATCTTTTAACAGAAATTGAGCCCAAACAAACATCTCTGCTAATTTCTGTATGATTCTTGCTAATGATTTGTATAAAAGGGCAGGTTGCCCACTGTTGCTTGTTGTCTCTGGATCTTCAACAGCATTTGTTGCCGCAGTTGTCATGGCAAAGACTTCCTCCACATTTTCTCTTTTCAGAAGCCGACTCTTGGCTGTGGCATCCGATTCGTCGTTAGGTTCAGCTTTCAAAACTAATTCATCGGAAGCCAAAGATTTTACCATTTGGTAACCGATAGTTCATACGTAGAAACCACCAATCTGCATTAATTTCCCAGATTAAAACCAGACAATAATCTGCCCGGGAAGCTTGAAAGTAACAAATAAATTAATTTAAGGCTAAGGAGAAAGATGCATAGGAAACTCCAACACAACGGTTCCCAAATGGGCTTCCGTCCTTGTTACAGGTTGCCTGGGACAACTATAAGGACAAGAATTCCCTTATCCAACAAACCACTGCAAACTTACTTCATGTAGGCAAAGTTGAAGGGGCCTTACCAAATGACATTATACCTTTAATTTTTTTCCAATTATTCTAACTCTTCACTTCATCTGTCTGTTTATTAATTCTCTATAATCTCTTTATGTTCTATTTAATAATAATTAAGATCGTATTTTTATTAAATAAAAATTAGTTAACAATATTATTAAGATCATATTTCTCTTAAAGCTTTAATTATTTAAAATTATTTCCTATTAAATAATAATTAAATTTAATATTTATGATAAAAAAAATATATATATATATTCACTAGATTATGATATAAAAAAACAAAATTTTATATCTCCAACATGATAAAAAATTTATTTTAAATTGATGAAATATTATTTTCGAATTGTTCTTATCAAGACCAACTTGATAAAATTCATGTTTTAAAATGAAGAATTAATTTTGCAACTTGTATTTTATATATCCAATGAATTATTGATTAATAAATATTAAATATAATTATTAAAGAGAATTTAAATTCCAACATTAGAAAATTACAGTATTTTTTATTCAAGCCTTGGCTAATATCCTTCTTCATGGACCCTACATGTTTTATCGTGTTCTTAATAAATAATTGTAGGACATTATCCCATTGAACAAGAGAAGCGCAACTATTGATGGAGACCGAACTAAATGTTAACAGTAAAAAAATGACAGGGGATTAAATATTGGACTATTTAAAAAAATATAAAGATTTATTAGGTATTTAAACTCAAAATTCAACACGAATTAAACGATTTTAGTGATTAAGAGATTATTGTTATCATTGAGTTTGAGGTCTTGAGTTCGAGCACTTTCTATGTAGGAGTATGAGCATTCATTATCAAATAGTTGAGAATCTTTGTATAGATATTACCTTGTATTCACCAAAGATTTTTTTCTTAAAACCCCCCCTCAAAATTCACAATATAACATCTAATTTATCTAATATTTAAACTTACAATGACCTAAAGTGTTATTAGACCAAAATTTTTTAGAATATGAGGTTATCATTCTTTAGTTCGGTCCTCACTTGATTAAATATTTAATAAATTGTTATATTTTTAGTTTAAATACTTATTTTTACATAAATTAAAATACTATTAGACCAAAATTATATTAAATAAATAAATTTTAACAGTGATAGGGTCCCTTTGGTCCTCACTAAGCTCCGCCCCTTGGTGCAACTAATAATTAATGAATTGAAAGGTAACGTGGCTATCTACTTTCATTAAGTAAGCTCTATTATATTAACTATATATGGTCTGTATATGTTGTTTTTTATTAGAAGATTATAGTTCTATTTTCAATGACTTGGTGTAATTGGTTGAATGGAAAATTAAAATATAAAAAAGGAGAATAAGAAAATAAGATTATTAGAGATGTAAATGAATAAAACCTTCTATAAATCATTTGTATAACGTTCGTTTATGTTCGTTTATTAAGTTAAATAAATTAATATAAGCAAAAAAATTGTGTTTATTTAATAAACGAAAGAACGCGAACATATGTGTGTTCGATTTGCTTCTATTCATTAATAAAGCCGTTTATTGACTCATTTATAAAAATATTTATCGACTCTTTTAATATGTTATCTTTTCCTTTTCTTTTTTTACATTTTGAATACAGGTGAATGTATGGACTAAATTGAACACATGATGAATTTTGAAATTCAAATCCCAAAGCCTAAAGAGCTTAAGAACTAGTAGTGTAATTTCACAATTTAAACCAACACGAACTGAACATTAATGCAAAAACAAACAAACAAATACATAATATTATGTGTTTAAATCTGGTTTATTTATACCCCTAAAGATTATAGTTCTATTAATTATGACTCGTGTGGAACTTAGTTAATTAACCGATTGATTTGGGTTCATCCCGCTCACACAACTCATATATCTTCAAGTCACTATAGCATTGCTTGTATATGAACAGAAATAAGATTCAGTACTGATGGTCATGGTTAGTATGCAATTAGTTGCTAAATTTGGGATTCTAGCATTATTTGCATACATGGACGGTCCAAAATCATATTTAATTTAAGGAATAATATGAGATTTATATTCTGTTGGTGGAGTTGTTGTCTCGTCAATAATTTAAAATCAAATTCATATATTATTTTAACGGTGAAGGAAATAGAGTATTATTAACCTTACAATTCCTTTTTTGGGGTGGCACTGACATTTAATTTAACAGTCCCCATCACCCACTTCAGTATATTTCATTGTATATTAAAGGAATATTAATTTAATTAATTGTGTACATTTTCGTTGGTATCTAATGAATAACTTTTTCTATCAATTATTTTTTGTGTGTAGTTGCAATTTTTTTAATTAATTCGTTTGTCTCATGGACTCTGAATTGAAATAAGAATAATAAAAAATTATTTGGGGACGAAACGCTCATTAAGTTAATAAATTAATGGAGCTAATTGCACATATGAATAATTAATATACCTTTCTGCATATATATATATATATATATATATATATATAATGTGTAGAATATCTTTTTATTAGTTTACGGTTAATACAAAATAATATATGTTTAAAGATTTTTAATATATTGAATGTTTATATATATTAAGATTATTTGAATTGTATTACATAGAGTAATTTTGAAAACAAATATTTTTTAATTAATCTGAGATAAATATATTTTTTCACATTAAACGCTCTCACATTTTATATCTATATGCTCGAATTCAAATCAACAATAATAATTCCTTCACTAACATAGACCACTTAATTCGTGCTCACAAATGATTAGGTTTGAATGAATATTATCAAAGAAACATAATAAAAAGTCAGGCGGCAAAAGCAGACCCGTGGAGGCGGAGGCGGCACGAGGGTCAAAACTATATAATCTGACCCGCGGCCACCCGACCCTAGCCCGGTCAAGCCAGGCAGTAAAAAGGATTTAATGGCGTTGTCCCGCATGGATTACCTTTATGAAATTTGAAATTATAATTATGAATTTTAATATATGCTATAACTTTATTTAAATTTAATCGAATTTAGCTTAATCATAAATATATTAAAACTTAAAAATTTAAGATAATTTTATTTCTGATTTTAAAAAAAATAAAAATAATATTAGTTAATCTTATATTTAGTAAAATATAAGTATGGGAAGAGCAATTATATAAGCAATTGCCGAGGAAAGATAGAAGAAAGAAAATTGGGAAGTGGGCGGGGGTAGCAAGAATGATTCATTGGGCAAGGTTTTTCTATTTTTCTAATCATTTCATTCGACAACTTGACTTGAGCATGCCTAGGTTTGGCTGCGTTGATCGATGCCATACCTCTAGCAAGAGAATTCCCATGAATTTTCTATTTTTGTTTAATCAATTCCCTTTGGGACCAATGTACTTGTGAACTCAAAACTGAAATGCTTGAAACTGAAACATAAACATTAAAATTCATTGAATTTCACTGCCCCCCATAATTTAAAGTAACCTCAACTACCCAAAGATGGAATGATAATACTGGCTGGCTGGCATTGGAAAGCTCTCTCTCTCGTGGTGAGAGAATTTGTAAACGTGTTAATATCCATGGTATTTGACTCAACTCGAGGTGGTGGAGCAGAGCAGAGCAGATTCTGAACCTTCTTCCTTTCTTCCAAATCTCCAGTATTTATTACTCCTTTTTTAACAACGCCAACAAATATTACTGCCCCTACTGTTTTCTAAGTTCCTGCAAACCCAAATTAATATTTTGTCTTCAATTACAGTTTCCATTCCTTTTGATGTCATCTTTTAGTCTTTGCCTTCTGAAAAAGGAAAAAAAATATGAAGCCGTTGTTACTATGGTGGTGTTTGTGGGTTTTGTTAATAATGGAGGGAGAAAGAATAATGGCAACCGAGAGTTCAGAGGAGAGTGGGCGGTGGCTGGTGTTTGTGCTGTTATCATCATCATCTCCATTACCTTGGAGAAGGTTCTTCACAAACTTGAAACGGTAATCCTTCCTTCTCTTTTCTTCATCAAGTTTTTACTTTTTTTTTTTATGGGCATTTGGATTTAATTCACTTTATCATCGTCATCTATACTCTTGTGCCACTCAGTGGTTCACAGAAAGACGCAAGAGAGCTCTGTTTGAAGCCTTGTACAAGGTTAAAGCTGGTGAGTCAATGACTTTGTTTTTATGATTCACTAATATTTATGCATTCTGCTTTTAAGTTGTTCACGAAGTTGTTTCATGTTAGAATGACTGCATTTGGAGATGTTGCACCAGTTAATGTTTGGTTATCTTGGTGTATTAGCATGTATTTCAATGTGCTACCTTGATAATTCAGTACTGACCTTAGCCATTCACTGCAGGGATGCTTCTTTCGACAATTTTTCAAGTCCGTTGGGAGGGTTGATTACCTGACATTGCGAAATGGATTTATCAATGTGAGTTTCAATTGCAAAGCCAACGATATTTGATGTCGGGTCGTCCTTCTCTTCCTGACTATTTCAAACTTGTCTCATAGGTTCATTTAGCTCCCGGAAATAAGTTTAACTTCCAAAAATATATCAAAAGATCATTGGAGGACAACTTTAAGATCGTCATAGGAGTAAGGTACTAGTTATATTTCTGTCTTGCACCGGACAACTTCCCTTGCTGTTAATATCCCTGATCATAGGTTTATCTTGTTCGCAATCCGGTGCTCTGGGCATCATTTGTGGTCTTCCTGCTGCTAAATGTCAAAGGTGAGCCGGTTTTTCTCGAGGGGATTAATATTTTGCTATGTCAGGCTGAATTAGAAGCTGAATTCTGTTTGCTAATAACATACATGCTTTTTGCAGGGTGGCAAGCACTCTTTTGGGCATCCCTAATTCCTGTGATTGTAAGCAACATTTCTTTATAGAAGTTTCTTTATAATTATAGTAGAAGATTTTAAACTTCTAATTGTTTAATACATAACAGATCATCTTAGCTGTTGGGACAGAACTTCAAGCAATTTTGACAAAGATGGCACTCGAGATCACCGAAAGGCATGCTGTTGTCCAGGGAATGCCGCTGGTACAAGCCTCGGACAAATACTTTTGGTTCGGTCGACCCCAATTAGTTCTTCATCTGATTCATTTAGCATTATTTCAGGTATTTGTTACTTTCTACTTCGATCAATTCTCGAATATAAGAATAGCTGCCTTTTTAACAGACAATGAACCAGTTCAATCCTTTAGCTATTTTCCATCATAGTTGTCTAGAATATTTCATGTGATGAGTACTTATCATGCTGTAATGGATGTTTGATCCATATTTTCTTCATTTTCGCAGAATGCGTTCCAGATAACTTATTTTTTGTGGATATTGGTAATTATCTAAGCTTTTCACATGCTCTTTTATTTCGTGTTTATCCGAACCCTCATTTTCATTTTTTTTTTTTTTGTAATTCCTTGTGCAGTACTCCTTTGGGATGAATTCTTGCTCTCATGCTGATTTCGAGCTTGTCATAGTAAAACTTGCGTTGGGTTAAGCTTAAGCTCAAGTACCATCAGTTTATTGTGGATGGTAATATCATGCACCACAGATACTTAAATGTTTTTCGTGTTTCTCAGGGTCGGAGTTCTACTTTTGTGCAGCTACATCACCCTCCCGCTGTACGCCCTCGTAACTAAGGTGCCTCTTCGATTTCCAACATCTTCGATTTGATCCTTCGGTTGCTTTCTTTACTGTGAACTGTCCATTATGGATAGAGTTAAAAACCGAGTGATGCTAATAATGCCGGGTACTTGCAGATGGGGTCCCGCATGAAAATGTCCATCTTTGATGAGCAAACGTCCAAGGCTCTTAAGAACTGGCATATGGCTGCTAAAAAGAGACGAGGAAATGCAACAAAGTCACCCACTAGAGCCCTGGGTGGAAGTGTAAGCCCGAGTTCAACACTTCATTCCCCCGGACACTCACTTTGTCGGTTCAAAACTACGGGTCATTCAACACGTTCTTCGAATATCTTTGAAGATCATGACTTGTCTGATCTTGAGGCTGAGCCATTGAATCCCGCATCGATAGACAATTTGACAATAAGAGTGGACCACGATAAGCGAGCAACCGAAATAAACGAAAACTACCATGTAGAAGCAAGAAATGAAGACGACTTCTCCTTCACGAAGTCCGCCCCGGTAAAGGAAACATGAAAGATTGTTAGATAGGATAGGAAGCTGGGCAAGTTGGATTCGGTTTGCTTGGAAATTGCATAATAAGAGTCATTTAGGAATCTACTTGTATCAGGATGAGTGAGTGTTTTATCCTAAAATCTGATTTTTTTTAATAATTAATGTCTATCGTGAAATTTTATGTGTCTACTCACATAAAAGCTTGTATCGTTAATATATGTCCATAGTTAGGAAAAAAATTATATTAATTGAGATTGGAACATAAGTGTTGGCCTTGGCAGTTGTCCATGCCCCCCGCGTATCTACTATTACTCGTTCTTCTACAAACATGGAGCGTGGAGTGGAGACCCAGCCAGCAACCGGCATATGATCTACTCATATCAAACTGCCATGTACATGAAGACGACGACTGTGACTCCCGTCTCTATGGAATTCACTAGCCCCAAGCCCTACCTTCCATAGTTTTGTTCAAGAATTAAATCGGATTTTGTGTGTTCTAGAATAACTTTTATAATTTTATATTAATTTTGAGGGTAAATTATACCAAATAGCATTGAAGTTTAACTTTAGTTTTGATTTTACTATTTAATTTTAAATTGATTCGACTGTAGTATTATTATACAATTTTATGCCTATAAGGACACTGACGCATTTTAAAAAAATCATCTAAATATAGTAATTTTGTGTTGGATAAATATAATTATCTTTATATGTCAAGATTACTATGAACCGAAATCATAAATTTCATGTCTACAGTCACACCAAATTAAAATATTTGTATTAATTTACATAAACCAACCTCATCATGAAAACTGAAGTCTCTTGTACTTATTTCATGAACGCATGCCAGACTGCAGACAGGTTTCCGAACCCCTTTTAATCATTTCACTGCTAATGAGGAAGATGAAAAGATAGTACAATATAGACTTGAAACACTGACTTGCTGACCCAATGGCGAATTCATGATGTGTCTTTTGGATCAGCTCAAACTCCGTGGAATTCGTAAATGCTGTTGTAAAAGAGAGCCTGCAATATCAAGATAGCAGCAGAAATTGGAGTAATCAAAGCACCAGTCTGGAAACTTTTTCAAAACCATCCCGTGTTCAAATAAATAATTTTCTATAACGGCTTGTTAAAATGGTACTCAAGCTTCAATTTTACAATAGAAACACAGATTACAACATTTCTTTCTTCCCTTGTTTCTCGGCTCTGAACAGTACAACCTCAATTCAGTGCAAAGGAAAACAAAAATCAAGTGAGGGAAAACAATTATAATTGATTAGGGAAAAAGGGAAAGAAATCCACGATTTTAAGAAGAAAAGTCAGAACCATGATGTATGATCCACTTGGCGATGCCAATGACTGGTTGCATCGTCCTAATTGATTTCATCTGACTCGGTAACAGCTTAAAAAAACCTGTTAGATACAAAAACAAGGACAACTATGAGTGAAAATTCTGCTATTAGCTTTCCTTTGAGAAGATTTTCCATTAGGATAAGATTTAGCTATGAGTATTCCAAATCCGTCATTATGTTTGTGTGGGACAACTTAGCAAGAACATGATAACACCACTGCTTTCCAGACAACTTACCCAAACATACAAGTGCGCTAAATCAGGCTTTGACATAGTCCATTCCGTTGCGCTTCCTTTTGTTAGACTTGGAGAAGAAGCATATTTGAGCCCAATTCTTCTTCTGCTTCATGGGGGGTAATTTAACATCCCTTTTCTCAACAAGATCAGCCATATACCGAACAACAGCCTAAGGAAATGAAGAAATAACTTTAGCCATGTGATAACATTTTCTTTTCTTTCGTTTTTTAAAAAATGGAAGGCATAGCAAGGGAAATATTACCTGTGCACCCTGTTCAGCAATGTGCCTAGGAGGCACTTCCAGGGGATTTTCTTCCACACGTAGAACTTGAAGGCGTGTTAACATCCTAAAAGAATCTGGGAGGACCCGGATCTGATTATTGCTAATGTCCAGCTCCTCAAGCATCTCAAGGTTCCCAATAGACCTTGGTAGGGATCGGAGATCAGAAAAATTGTTGCCTATGTTCATCTTCACGAGTGTGGTGGCAAAACATAAACTCTCAGGCAAAGATTCCAGCTCGTTGAAACTGACATCTAGTTCCTTCAGGTTTGCCAAAGATGTCATCGTTGTAGGTAATTGTTTGATGTTATTATATCGTACGGATAAAACCTCCAACATTTCTATCTTCCCAACTGCTTCAGGAAGGGCTTTGAGCCGGTTATAATCTGCACGAAGCTCTTTAAGTGAAGTGCAGTGACCAATAGTATGTGGAATTTCTTCGATGTCATTTGTCTCCACATTCAGTTTCTTTAGGCTAATGAGTGAACCTATTGTGTCTGGGAGCGAAGGAAAGTGATTGGAACTCAAATCAAGCTTCTCTAGGCGTACCAATCTCCCAAATGTAGGAGGCAGAGATGACAACTGATTGGCACTGACATCTAGAAAGACCAAGCTGAGAAGATCGCCAATGGAATCCGGGAGTCGAGCAATCTTATTTGAATGCAAATCGAGTTTCTTCAATGACGAAAGGCCGCCAATGGTGTCAGGCAAAGCTACTATTCGATTGTCAGACATATCGAGTGTAACTAAACTCGACAACTTTCCTATTGATTCAGGAAGCCAGTCAATTTTATCCATCAACTTGGCTTGGAGGTTGAGATCTCGAGTGCCTTTCTTTGCAGAGACTTCAATTATACTAGCTAGCTTAATCAAACTCAACTTCTCACCATCTTGATCTGCACAAGCAAGTAATATGCTGGAGCATTAGAGAAAGAGAAACCAGTGGCAGTATCAGTAAGCTGAACAAAGTGTTACTAAAGTCTTGGTCAAAATCTTTTACTTAAAAAACAAAGAAATCAACGTAAGTATAAGCTAACCGGAAGCAGCGGCTCCCCCAGATTTAAGAGAGGAATCCAATATGTGAGGTGTAGATGAAATAGAAATACCCAACCCGCCATCAGTAGCGTTAGCATAGAGGGAGGACTTTGCCTTCTTAACGGAACTGTCATCTCTGGAGAAGAGTACTTGTTCTGATGCAGGCTCCCTAGCGGTGAAGGACGACGACGTGGCGGCGGAAAATGAGTTGTTGGAAGGCGGCGGGGTAGCGGTGGTTCGAGGCAAGGCGTTTGAGCGGGGGTATTTATCGTGAGATTTCGAGGAGGAGGAAGAAGAGGAAAGGCAATTGGATGCTCTCTGGATAAATTCATCGAACAAAGCATGGACGGCCTCGAGATCCAGCAATTTATACGCCTCCCGCATCTGCTCCTTGCTCTGGAAGTGAACACAGTTCTTTTGCATCTCGAGGAGGATAAGGAAGAGCTCCTCGGGGATATTAGGGCTCTTGGTCTGTCGAGCAATGGCGTCGAGCCTAGCTAGGTCTTCCTTCTCGACATTCAGAATGAGCTCCTTGGCAGCTTGAACATCGTCAAGAGCAGGACGCGGCGGCAGAGATCTGTGGATTTTCATGATCTCCTCCACCGCTTCGTCAGTGGAGTGAACCGCACAGGATTCAACCATATTGTTTCCACCAAGGAAACCACTGAATTGCGCGGAAATCTCAATTACACCACAACTCCACGAAACTTGACGGTTAATGAAAAAGAATCTTGACTGAGACCGAGATTGATTTCGATGTCATCGTCGGCGGCACCTTCCTTCTCGACCAGCCCTGAACAAAGTGTAAGCTCGTAAGCGATTCGAATAAAGTGTGAATAATTTATGACTATAATTGATATTTTATTTATAAATGTATTAAACTTAAATTAGATATAAAAATTATATGAATACAATTTAACGAATTAAATTTGAATTATTTTATTTTAAACCGAATAATAAAATAACAATATCAGATTGAGTTCGGGCAGCGAGTCTCTTTGTTTATGTTACCATTATGTAATGGATGCTTCCATTGCATTGCAAATAGGGAGGCTAATTGATAAAATACAGGGTACGATATGGCGTCAAATAAATCCAGCTGTTTCGGTGCACTGCTCAGATTTATTTTAGGAATCTTAATTTTTTGGTTTATACATCAGTACGAGGTATTAATCGACTATTCCGTATTAGATTTTGTAAAAATGATTTACGAAAATGGTTCTCAACACAGTTTGTTCTATTCCTAAATGTTAGAATTTAAACATCTTATCTTACTAAAGAACATGGATGGATCGAGGAGGCAGGTTGGGTAGTCGTCTCTCTGAAAATTTAAAATTAACATATACTTTAAATTCTTTTATGTATTTTCTATTGAAAATTTATTTTCGCTCCCTATAATTTTATAAATTTGTCCTCTCCTAAAATCGCAGAGATTCACTCCTAACATAGTATCTTATCTCAATGAATCAACTGATTGTTGATTTAAGTTAACTATAAGGGTAAAATGTACTAAATCTCATTATATTATATTTAAATAATTATTTTGTTCATTAAACAATTAAAAATTATAAAAATAATCATTAAATCTATTGTCATGTTATAAAAATGTGCTAAACCTCTAAACTTACTAAAGAGCAAGGATGGATCGACTAACCGAGGGGTGCGGGTGGAAGCAGTCGTCTCCTTGAAAATTTAAAATTAACATATATTTTAGATTTTTTAGGTATTTTCAATTGAAATTTTAATTTTGTTTATGTAATTTTGTACATTTGTCATGTTCTAAAATTTCAAAGGTTCAATCCCTAACATAAAATCTTGCGTTCGTCTCTACTTAAGATATATAATGCCTTATCTTATTAAACCAACTGTTGTTAGTTTAAGAATCTTAATTTTATGGGTGAAATGCACTAAATCTCATTAATATGTTTAAATAATTATTTTATTCATTAAACAATTAAAAATTATAAAAATAATCATTACATCTATTTAAATATTATAAAGAAAGTCTTGTGGTGTTTTAGTAATTATAAGTGAATTTAATGATATTTTTAAATTTTTAATATAACTTAATTAGTATTTTATAACCGTTTGAAAAAAATTTAATGATTATTTTAATTTTTAA